AACAATTAATTATTTATTATTATCTATATCCCAAATCTTGATTATATCCCCCATCCCATCCCTTCTTAAATATAAGCACCCAATTCTCACATCATCTACCTTCCAGTTTACTACACTAAGCTAAACCTGGCCTCATTACATTCCTATACTCTCCCAAATTCGTAGTAACAAGTGGTACCGATTGTGTGGAACTGATCTCTCGCACTTCAGATTTCACCAATATATGATCAGTTTTGAACAGCACTTTAGAGACAACGTTTAACATGATTAGTATCATTACCAATTCGGAAAGAACCACCAAGCCATTCAATACCTCATAAAACATTATCCTGATGACTCTTGTGTCGTTTGCCACCCGCCTCACAAACAAGTTGCCTCTCAGTTTCTTAATTTTTGGAATTGGTTCACCTTCGTTCAACCTGCTGTTACTTATTCTCATGCCTCTACTATTCGGTTTGAATTTCTCAACCATTTCCCATTGAAGACCTCCCTATTGATTGACTGAGACGATTTATCTTTAGCTTTAAATTCAAAGAAGAGCCGGACCAATATCCTGTATCGTTAAACAAATTTTTAACCATCTACCAAGAAACCGATCGATTTGTTAAAGACCCTTTTGAAAAGACCTACTATAGTAAAACCTTAGAAGATGACCAATCAGAAGAAGATACTGAGGACATGGCTCAAAGAAACAACAATAACCCTCCTTCCAATAACCTAAACAACAACCCGCTCAACAATGCCAATAATCCAAACAACCAAGCTAATCTTATGGATAACCTCGTGCAACAGATCTGAGCTCTCATTGCCTATATACAGCAGGCCCCTGCGCCGCAGATTAACATGCCGGCTCCTCAAATAAATATACCTGCACAGCAAAGGAAGCTTAATTTAGTCGCCTACCCTGAGTTCTCTGGTGGTAAACAAGATCCCATTACTTGGGTGGAAGACGTGGAGAAAGTCTTTGAGGCCAATCTAGTTTAGAACAATCAAAAGATTCCTGTAGTAATTCCAAAACTGAAGGGTGCTGCCGCCACTTGGTGAATCACTATTAGGAACCAATGACAGCAGCAACAATTACCTGCTATCAATCGATGGGACGACGACCAGAACCAAGGATGAAGTTTTTGTCCCACCTTCATCGCCCACTTTCGAACCCCTGCCCTGGAAAGCAAATGGTTCGCCCAACTCACACAGAGGAAACAGTACTCCGGTAAGGATGTAGACATGAATCACGTAGCCGTAGAGGAACTTTTATGACGTGTGGAGGCAGGAGGACATTAGTACCCTGATACCACCAAAGCCCAAATGTTTATTAGTAGGTTAAGATCCGACCTCACTACGTCCGTCGCCCCCTTCATGCCTGGGACCCTTGCTACTGCTATGAGAGGGCAAAGGCTTTTGAGAATGCCTTTAAGCAAAACCTATCCAACCTCAACGTTCCTCTACTCTCTGCCTTTTACTCCCCCAATACTTGTCTCTCCCAACGCCGGACCAAAATAAAAATATGACTAAAGAGGCTATTAATAAGCTAACCGAGGCCATTGATAAGATGGTGGCCCAGTATAAGGAGGCCCAGGAACCTCCCAAAAAGAATTGGAATGGCTGGAACAACAGTGGTTTCAAAGGTCCATGTCTCCGTTGCGGACAGAATGGGCACTTCGCTAGAGACTGCCCAACCTCTTTCGAAGAGACAACAATAGAAATATCGCTACTGAAGCTAATGCTACTCTCTCGGCCAAAATACCAATCGACCACCCCCAACGAAACAACGCCTCCAATAACAATGATGTTCAGAATGCGATGCAAACCCTCCTTAATCTTGTAGAAGCAAACTCTCAGGAGAATGAGTCACAAGCTTTCCTGAACCTTCACGACAAAGATACTTTGTACAATATCAGAGAAGAACGAGAACGACCCATTAGATCGACCTGACTTAAGTGACAGAGAACTACAGAAGATTTGTCCCAAGAAATTCATCCTGATCTACAAGAAGCACCAAAAGCTCCCACAACTAGTGAGTTGGTTTAAAAGAAGGATACTAAGCCAATAGTTACCCGTAGAAAGAAAATTGAAGATGAACCCCTACAGATTTCTACTCTTGTTTTCCCCTACTTCATTGTTGCCGACATTAGGACAAACTTGCAAATATCACCATCGGTCAATTGTTGAAGGCTGTCCCCTCAATACGTATTGAGCTATCTAAAGGCCTCCAGAAAAAGAAGAAGGCTACTAAAAGAAAAGATCAGGCGTTTGCTAATCTCCACCTTACTGCGAAAGCCATGGCTCTGTACTGTAATGTGTCCGTCAAGAGGAAAGTCATCCCACTTATTATTGATAGTGGGTCTTCAGATAGTGTAGTCTCTATTCACTTTCTCTAGGACATTGGTATTAAGGTAGAGAGACCCTCTACCGTCAACATGATCAACATCCACAGACAAAGCAAAAGGGCTATTGGCGAGATTTCTGATTTCCCCTTCATGGTGGGAGGAGTGAGAATTCCCGTTGACGTTGTGGTCACTAATGCCCAGTCCTACCAAGCTATTGTAGGGAACGACTAGCTTTCAAAGGTCAGTGCCAAGATCGATTATACTTGATCCGACATGACCTTCGTATAGGAAGACAAGGAGATTGCTGTGCCTGTAGAGTTTCACAAATTACAGCACACACCACTTCAAGAAGAACAGTCTCCCCGAACAACAGAGCCACAAGAAAATGATGAAGAATCAGAGTCAAAAGATGAAGAGACAGAAAGTGAGTACGAAGAGGAGGAGTTAGAGGATCAGCTTTTCAGTTATTCTGAGAAAGATGATGTTTCATTACCTGTCGCCTCGTTGGAGGAAGATTGGTGGGACGTGAATGGTGAAGGATCTGAAAGCAGTAATGTTTGTTTGGAGGATAGGATAAACGAGATTTATAATTTTTATTTCGATAACGTTGAGAAAGTTGTGCTGGAGATTGATATCGGGGAACTTGAAGAGACAGACCGAGATCAGTTGTATGAGCTGCTCAGTAATAATGATGACCTCTTCGCTTGGACGACTCAGGATCTAGGCCAAACAAGCCTAGTTACCCATAGTGTTCACACTGGTGATTCGGTCTCGATCAAGCAAAGGGCATACTGTACAACCCCAAGAAGAAAGATTTCTTGAGGAGGAAATTAATAGAATGCTCGAAGAGAATATCATCCAGCCCTCTGTCAGCCCCTGGGCCTCCCCGATCGTCCTGGTCAAACAGAAAGATAAGACCCATTTTTGCATTGATTATCGTCGCCTCAACTCTGTTACAAAGAAGGATAGCTATCCTTTACCTCGCATCGATAAACTCCTTGATACACTCAAATATTCTTCTTGGTACACCTTGTTAGATCTTGCTAGTGGTTACTGGCAGATCGAAATGAAGCCGAAGGACAGAGAGAAAACTGCCTTTATTTACCAATTCGGCACCTTTGAGTTCAACGTTATGCTGTTTGGCCTCATCAACGCTCCGGCCATATTTCAAAGGCTCATAGACGCTATTTTTCAAGGCGTAAACGGTAAATTTGTCATTGTATATCTTGACGACATCAACGTTTTCTTTCTAACATTCGACAATCACCTCTGACATTTAAGGGAAGTTTTCAAGCGTCTTAGGAAGGCAGGCCTACGACTCAGTCCCCGAAAATGTCACTTCACCAAGAAGAAGCTTAAATTTCTTGGCTACATTATTGGGTCCAAGGGGATTTCTACTGACCCAAAGAAAGTAGAGACTGTTCAGAATTTTCCGGTGCCCAAGACCCTTCGACAGCTACGTGGGTTTCTTGGCCTAGCCTCTTATTACTGTAGGTTTATTCTGAATTTCTCCAAGATAGCCGCTCCTTTGAATTTACTCCTGAAGAAGGATTCCAAGTACATATGAACTAACGCAGCACAAAGCCTTCAGGGTATTGAAAGAGAAACTCATTTCCGCTCCTATTCTGGCGTATCCCGACTTTGTGAGAGAATTCCTTCTTTTCACCGATGCTTCTGAGATAGCCCTCAGAGCTATACTCTCCCAAAGAAACAATCAAGGAAGGGAGAAGGTCATCTGCTACGCCAGCAGAACAATGACGGCCGCTGAGCAAAACTACTCCGTCATCGAACAGGAGTGTTTGGCTGTTATCTGGTCTATTTCTTACTTTCGCCAGTACCTCCACGGATCTCACTTTACTTTGATCACTGACCATTCCGCTCTCAAGTTCTTGTTAAGCCACAAGCTCCCCCAAGGTCAACTTGCACGTTGGATCTTAGCCTTACAAGAGTACACCTTTATCATTGTACATCATTCCAGAAGGCAGCATTCGAATGCTGATAGTCTTTCTCGTATTTCTGAACCCACATCACTTTTAAATCTTTTTTATTTTTGACTATCTTTTCTTAACACCATTATTTTTCTCTTCTTATATCTCTACTATTTATTCTTCTACCTATTTTGCCAATTCTTATCATCCCTTTCAAACGATACTATAGAACCAGAACTCTATCAAAAATTTGTTTGCTATATTAGCGACCCAACTTATCAAGACGAACTTGAACCTTTACATCAAAAACAATTAAAACACCAAACTAGATATTTTACTATAATCAATAATCTATTATACAAAAAACATAGAAGACAACCTCACCGACTCTTACGAGTGTTACTACCCTACCAAACTGATGCTGTACTTTTCAGCATGTATTTGGACTCTCTTTCCAGACACTTCAACTATTTCTCTACTCTTTAGCACATCTCCCTTAAATACTTTTGGCCCCAAATGGGAGAAGCAGTTAAAGCCTATATCAAGACCTGTGACGCTTGTCAACGACGAGAAAGACCCCATACTCGTGAGCCTCTTTACCCTATTAAAGTAGGACAGCCCTTTGACAGAGTTGAGATCGATATCGTCGGCCTCTTACCACTAACACCAAGAGGCAACAGATATATTGTAGTGGCTACCGAATACCTTACTAAGTGGCTGGAAGCTCATGCTATTTCTGATGCTACCGCCTCATCCGTCACCTCGTTTTTCATAGACGATATTTTTTGCCGTTATGGTAGTCCCCAAGAGCTTCTATCAGATTAGGGAAAACATTTTGATAATCAACTAATCGAGGCCATATATTGCCAGTTGGGATCTTTGCCTTGAAAATCAAGTTATGGGACATAGTAAATCATATATCCCATATTTGATTTTCAAGGCAAAGACTCCAGTTGACAGTTCATCACTACTACTCGTCCACTTATCATCCCTAGACCAATGGTCTGGTTGAGCATTTCAATAGAATGCTTTGTGAAGTCCTGTCCAAATGTTCTATCCAGTTCACTGGAGAATAGGACAAATATGTCTCCCCAGTGCTTTTCACGTACTGGACAACTAAACATTCGACTACTCACTATGAGCCGTTTTTTCTTATGTATGGTCGGGAAACGGTTTTGCCAGGAGAAGTTAATGAGTTAACTCCGAAAATCCCACCTTCTACTGAAGCTGAATTACAAGAGAATCTCCTTAGATGAACTGAATTGTTACTAGGAGACGTTTAGGAGGCTGTTCTTAATGCCCAACGATGAATTTCCAAGGCCCAACAAAGACAGAAAAACTGTTATGATTGTCAACATACAATCGAAAGTTACCACATAGGTGACCAGGTCTTGGTGTATAGGTCCTTGTTAGATGGAACCCGAAAAGGCAAGCTTGAGGAAAAATGGACTGGCCCTTTTTATATACACGATGTTTTTCAAGAAGCTTATAAACTCCGTACTCTTGATGATAGAGTTCTGAAGAAGAAGGTCCACGGGAATCGATTAAAGGCTTATCACCTGAGTGTTGAGTAAGCATCTCTAGTCCCCCTCGCAGGAGCTCGAGTTTAAGAAGGGGAGTCTGTTACCTTTAAAATTTTCGATCTTATCAGTTGATCGCATCATTTC